TATAAAATCTGTAATTGTTTAATGAGTCATCAACTTTGTCCTAGGAAATTATATTTGTCATTTGAAAAACACAAACTGATCACTCTTCTTTTAATTAATTTCACCCCATAAATATTCTAATTTATATATTATATATTATATATTCTAATTTTCATAAATATTCTGTAAGTCTTTGTTAAACCAGAGAATATTTGTTTGACTCTCTCTCTCTGTAGCAACTCTACTGTTTTTGACTTTGGGCAAATGACAAAAACAGATCTGTGCCTCAGTTTCACATGCTATCTGTAAAATGAGCATAATAATACTATCCACCCTATACAGTTGTTATAGGTACCAACCAATTAAGCAAATATATAAAAATTGCTTTGACATCTTATTGGACATGGAGCAAATTGACCACTTACCATCATTATAGGAAAATTAAAATTGTCTTTAATAGAGTGGACCTAAATATAATATGAATCTTTATTTCTTTCACATCCATGAGGATACAATAAAACATCAGTTTCAGTTTCAAAGAAATATTGCTCTTTTATCACACTAAATGTGAAATTGTATAGCTGGTGTGATACCAAAAAGAAAAATCCAAAGAGTTTACTCCTTAGTTTGACCTCCTGCAATGTGAGGTTAAACAGAGGCTGTTTATCAGAGGCAGAAGTTTTGGCATAAGCATAGAGACTCCTTTAAATAGATTAAATAATTTAGTTATCCCAGACAAGAACTACTTATTTTCATTCTAATAAAACTAATTAAAGTACTTGGTTGTCACCGGAAAATATCAATTACAGTTCCCCTTGAACAATGCAGTACTGCTGATTGAAAACCTTACCAATAACATAAATAGTTGATCAATACATATTTTGTATGTTATGTGTATTATATACTTTTATTTATGATAAAGTAAGCTAGAGAAAAAAGTTATTAAGAAAATCATAAGGAAGAGACAGCTTTACAGTAGGGTACTGTATGTATTTTTAAAAAAAATCTGCATGTAAGCAGACATGTGTGGTTCAAAGCTTGTGTTGTTTAAGGCTCAGCTGTATACTCTATTTGAAATAACCGAGTCTTGAGGGCAACACAACTCTAGGAGGTACTATTTAAATTGTAGTTGTCCTAGATTTTTGTATTAATTATTACCATTTCCCAGCAGATGGCAGTATGATCTCTTTGACTTGGGTATGATGTTTTCAAAAGGTTTCTTTAATCCTAAGGAAGAAAATCCTTTTAAAAGCTGCATATTCCCTAGTACAGGGTGTTGGATCCCTCCCTGTGCCTTTCTGTATCTCCCCAAACTGTCAACATTAACAAAGCACAGGTGTTCCATGCAGTACTTTGGACCCCAGCCAAAAGAAATCCTAAAAGACAAGGGAACTATGAAAATACAAGCTGTGATATCCAAAGTATGCTGATGTTAGAAGCCAAGGTACACAAGATTGAGAGCTGCCTAACATTTTGGCAATTGCCATGCCTAAGACAGCCATAATTTCAAAATCCCAGGTGGCTTTACATAAAAATTTTATCATAACTCACTGGGTGGTGATGTTCAGACCACTCTAGACTTCTCTAGCAGCAATACTGCACCTGACTGATGAGAGGTGCATCAGTTTGGCCCTCATTTTCTCTTCTTAGCATGAATACCCACAAGTTTCACTACAGAAATGTTAAATATTATTTGATCATTCACTGCTGCACCTGGTCCCATTAGAGATGTCATAAAATATATAGTATATGCTGCATATTACCTTTCTACATTCTGAATATTTAATTTCAAAACACACCTGGCCCCAAGCATTTCAGATAGCCACATTTAAAGCACATTTTATTGGGGGTGCCTGGGTGGTTGAACGCTGCCTTCAGCTCAGGGTGTGATCCTGGGGTGGTGGGACCGAGTCCCACATCGGGCTTCCTGCATGGAGTTTCTCCCTCTGCCTCTGCCTCTCTCCTTCTGTGTCTCTCATGAATAAATAAATAAAATCTTCAAAAAAGAAGGTACATTTTATTGCTTGCTCCTTGGGATGTCCAGAAGAGTGGCACTGACACACAGTATATGCTGCAAGGTGCATTAGTACTATTGTCTATCAGAACTGTCATACTATTTTCAAGCCTCATTAACATCAAAGACAATTGCAATAACTTCTAGGCAATGTACCCTAGAATATATTTTTAAAAAAAGATTTTATTTATTATTTATTATTATTATTTATTATTATTATTATTTATTATTTTTTAAAAAAGATTTTATTTATTATTTATGAGAGACAAAGAGAGAAAGAGGCAGAGACACAGGCAGAGGAAGAAGCAGGCTCCTCACAGGGAGCCTGATGTAGAACTTGATCCCAGGACCCCGGAATCACGCCCTGAGCTTAAGGCAACACTCAACTGCTGAGTCACCCAGGCGTCCACGGTAATGTTTTTATAATTTGCTTATTTACATAAATTAAACACAGGGAATACATAGCTAAGGAAAAAATATCAGATTATAAACAAAGTTACACATGAAAAGATACACTCTGCTATACTTGTACACAGTAATTTGAATGAAATATATTCTTAGAAAAAGTTGATACGCTTTTTAAAAAATGTTGCTTACCAAAAGATGGCTACTTTGTCTAAAACAAAGTTACACATTAGTGATGTTGGTGTGAGGCTGGAAGCTACAAAGCTCTTCCTGTGTTGAGCCTGGTTTCCATAACTAAATGTGGAGCTAATTTTGGAACACAAAGCCCTGCCTGTGCCCCCTCTATATCTTGACAAACTGTCAACATTAATTAAACATGGGTACACAATTTTCTGCTGTATTGAGGGAAGGTTTAACAAGTGACATTTTTCTCTCCCCTTTTGTTAAATGACTATCCTCCAGCCAACTGTCTAACAGAAAGTTAATATTAATAAAAGCTAAATTAATTCAGTGTTTGATAAATTAGAGGCACTCTGGAGTTGAAATAGTAGTAATAGTTCACAATTATTGAGCATTTACTGTGTGCCTGGCCTTGTTCTAAGCACTCTACACACCTTAACTCATAAACCAAGCCACTTGGAGCATCTGAAATGTGAGTAGGGCATCACATTTTGGTCATCAGATTGACAGAAGAGATGTATCTAGCACTTAATGGGTTGGGACCAGAGACGCTAAACCTCTTGAAGCTCACTAGTCTAGTGAGGAATTGTCCCAACCCAAATACAAATGACACTACAACCAAGAATCACTCTCTTGCTGTCTCTGCCATTCTTCTTGTTAAATGATTCATCTATTTCAGAATTTTGTATTATTTCAGATTACATTTAGGATTAAATGTGAAAACAGGTCTGAGCTTTCAGCCAATAGCTGTCCCAGTTGAAAACTGTTGAGCTGTTTTATGCATAAAAGCACCTCTTCCTATCATCTTCAACACTGCTACCATAATAAGTAGAAACAAAAAAAGTCTCAGAATACTTTTTATCCTAAAGCCACCAACATGATAGTTTAAGAAAAATTTTATATTAATTCTGTTTAACTTGGGGGCATGAATTCTTATAAATGACCTGTCATGTAAAAATTTTTAATATGTTTGTTATTCTAATTGTATTAGTGTAAACTGAACAAAAGGACATAGACAAATATTACCTACAACAGAGAACTGGATTTTGCAGTCAGGTAAGTCTACATGAAATTCATTTTCTTCCGATGGCCATGCCCTCTTGATTTCAGTTGAATGTTTTGAAAATGAATTCTTTGCTAGTGGCCAAAAGCATAGGGCAAGTAAAATGCACGATATGTTAACTCTTGATGTGATATTAATAATAAACCTATTATTTAAAAAAAATAAACCTATTAAATCAACTTCACTGGTTCTCTAGTTTCTCATTTATTTCTCCTAATTTCACTTTTTAGTCATCATTTCTATAGAGGCAGCAAATTATAAGCCTTCTCTACTATAGAAATAAATGCTTGCCAGAGTCTTGACAGCCTCTAATTATCAGCTATACACAAAGAACTTTGGGGGTGGGGGAGGAATAACAGACTGAAGATTAAGCCTCAAACTTAATCACCTGACAAGCCTGTTGAACCAGATTCCTGGTTCAGCAGATCTGTGTGGAGCCCAACAATTTGTAGTATTAAGAAGCCCCCAGGTGATGGTGATGGTGATGGTGGTGATGCTGTTCCTCAGGCAAGATTTCCATTAGCACTAGATTAAGGTAGGCAGGGAGGCAAAACCTAAACTAGAAAAGCCATTTCACAGGGAGATAAGCTTAAAGGCCAGGACTCTTCACAAGACCTATAAGTTTGAAGATACTAAAAATTTAAGTTCTAGATTATGTTGGAATAAGAACTCCTAGGTTTCAGATTTATACCTGTTCTGTATTTTGAATCATAGGATGTCCTGGCTAATTTCTATACTCAAAGTCCTTCACATCTTTTAAGGCTTAAGGTATTTCTGTGAAGTCTACCATTATTTTTAAAGCTATACCTACAGTTGTTTGTGATGGAAAAGTTCATTTTTCTGTCATTTCACTTATATGTAAAGTTTCTGAATTTTTTTAATTAGAAATGGATGGAGAGGCTTTCCTCCCTTCACACCTGATTGCAATCTACTGTGACTCTATATTTCTTAAAGCGATGCAAATGAGATTTCAACACCTCTTGTGTCTTTCTTTTTTTTTTTTTTAAATTTTTTTTTTTTTTTTTTTTTTTTTTATTTATGATAGTCACAGAGAGAGAGAGAGGCAGCGACACAGGCAGAGGGAGAAGCAGGCTCCATGCACTGGGAGCCCGACGTGGGATTCGATCCCGGGTCTCCAGGATCGCGCCCTGGGCCAAAGGCAGGCGCCAAACCGCTGCGCCACCCAGGGATCCCGTGTTGTGTCTTTCAAAAAAAAATACTGTACTTTCAAAGTTGCTATTTGAAGAAGCAATATCTCAAAAAATAAGCTAGAAGTAAAATATGAGAACAAGAAATCCCAAAACAGATGACATGCAATCTACAAGAAATCCACTCTCACAGCCCTAAAAGAGATCTTACCTGCATTAGTTGCTGCTTCAACTTCTGTATTTCTGAAATGTTCAGCTCACTGAATAAGTCAGAAACAGGGTGTAGAGACTCTCCTTTCCTTAAAGTGGGAGTCCGATAGTCTCCATTCAGTTTCACAAGGGGCCCATGGATATGCCCATTCATTTTGTCATCATTGTTTGGTTCACTGGCGTCCTCCGTGAACTTGAGGCCATCTACAGAGATGCTGATATGGTTATCATTGAGGGTGATGTACTGGGAGAGCTCCTTCCGCAGGATATTCTTTTGCTCCCTCTCGTTTTTTAAGGTCTCAAGGGCTTCTTCCAGTTGGTGCTCCGCGATCTCTTTCAACCGGATGGCATCTTCCAGTTGGCTGTTTAATAGCACAGTTTCCTCCTCAAATCGCTTAATCTCATGCTTTAAGCCTTCATATTCAACCTGAATTAGATAGGATAAAGAAGATTCATAAAACTAAAATTTGGGTCTTACAAAACTGCCATTAACCACTCTAGCAGACCTAATTGTTTAAAAAATTGAAATGTTACACTACTTTTATTGTATACCTGAAACTAATATAACACTGTATGTTAACTAAAAAAAACAAACAAACAAAAAAAACACACAGTATATATACTCTTAAGGTAACATAGGATGAAAAAAAAAAGGTAACATAGGATGGTTTCTTTGGAAATTACATATAATTTATAATGTATTATTATATAACTAATAACTAATATATAATTTATAAATACTTTAGTTTTATATAATTCATATATGTAAACTAAATTCTTCGTAGAGATGAAAAAGGGGTCTTAGAATTTCTTTTTATGAGGACCAATGGCCAAAAGGGGGCACTGTTTGCCTTAAAAAAAAACAGGAATTAAAAAAATAAGTATTGGAATATTAACAACCTAGAAAATATTTTATCATCACTATTACTCTGTCTTATGATGAGAAAATTTTTATATTTAAGGATAAATAACCTAAAAGATCACAATAAGAATTTAATCTCAAATTATGTTTGAGAGTAAAATGAAGCAAAGAAAAATTTTATGTGCTTAATCTGGAGTAACAGTACTGATTGATTATCTGATAATAAAAAAACATATATTGTTATCAATGTAATATTCCTTTATTTTTAAGATTTTATTTATTCATGAGAGACACAGAGACACGGGCAGACAGAGAAGCAGGCTCCGCACAGGGAGCCCAACATGGGACTCGATCCCAGGTCTCCAGGATCAGGCCCTGGTCTGAAGGCAACGCTAAACCGTGGCCTAACCGCTGGCCTAAACCGCTGAGCCACCAGGGCTGCCCTGTAATATTCCTTTAAATTGAGAACCAAATAGCCTGTGTAAACACCCTATTGGTCATGAAAGCCCCTAAGGGAAAGAGGTCTCTACACCGACAGGCCTTCTTTGAGGCCTTGTCCATGGCACTAATTACATGCTACTTTTTAATAACTATTTTATCTCCACAACTATACTGAAGTCTCCTCAGAAGAAATAAATACTTGTTATGCACCCAAGTGTCCCTCAGTGCTTCTGAGAGACCTAGATAAGTGTAATTTAATCTAGATAGAAGCTTGTTTCTCTCTCATGTAACACTATGGAGATACACAGTCAAGGGCCAGCAGGATTCTCAGCTGCATGAGGTTATCCAGGAACCAGGCTTCTTCTATCATATTGCACTGCCTCCTACTCTGGTCCATATGATCTAAGGTGGCTTGATCATGTCTCAAGCAGTGGGCCAAAGTAAGGGGCACACTCCTTCCCTTTAAGAATATGTCTCAAAAGGTGCCCATATCACTTCTTAAATCCCACTGACTGGTATTAATCACATGACACTTACATCCAAGGGAGGTGAAGAATGTTGACTTTACCCTGCCTAGCCTTATGGTCAGTTAAGGGTGAGAGGATCACCTGGGTGCCTCACTTAGTTAAAACAGCTGACTCTTGGTTTTGGCTCAGGTCATGATCTGAGGGTTCTAGAATCAAGCCCCATGCTGGGCTCTACACTCAGTGGGGAATCTAGTTGTGGATTCTCTCTCCTTTTGCCCCTCACCCTGCTCTCTCTCTGTCTCCCTCTCTCAAATAAGTAAGTCTATATAAATAAATAAGTAAGTAAATAAATAAATAGACATTGGGAGAGGGGAAAAATGGTTATTGATGGACAACCAGCACTCCCTGCTATATAAGATCACTCAAGTCTCATATGTCCATGATAGAAAAGACTCAAATCATGGAAATTGCTTGAGGTAATAGAATGTGGGTCCTTGTCTTTTTTTTTTTTTTAAGATTTATTTATTCATGAGAAACAGAGAGGTAGAGGCATAGGCAGAGAGAAGCAGGCTCCCCGCAGGGAGCCCAATGCGTGACTCGATCCCAGGATCCCGGGATCAAGACCCGAGCCAAAAGCAGGACCCTCAACCAACTGCTGAGCCATCCAGGCACCCGAATGTGGAGCCTTGTGTTATGGTTTCTTCCAAGCCTGCTTATATACAGTAAAGTTATCTTCCTCCTGACTTCTTTTCCTTTCCTTGGACAACTCAGGATATCTGGTTGCTAAACTTTCCTAGTATATCAAGCAATCCTCTGCTCCCAAATTACTCAATAGCTTACATTCGCAGACATTTCTTTAGTTTGCATTGTAGGTCTTTTATTCTGTAATCTAGTTAAACTGATAGCTTAGCCCAAGGATTGTTTAATATTTCTGTGTCTTCTGGATGAAATCTAGCCCACCATCTATTTTTTGCAAATAAAGTTTTATGAGAACACAATCACACTATTTTCTCTCTGTCTACTTTCATGCTACAACAGCAGAGAGGAGTAGTTGGAAGAGACAGGACATATATTAGGCCTACAAAACCTAACATACTTATTATCTGGCCATTACAGAAAAAGCTTATCAATTCCTGGGCTAGACTTGAAGACATTAATTTAGTTGGCATTGCAGATTTTTAAAATTTTGTAATTCATATTTAATTAATGGTAAACTTTGTATAAACCTGATCTCTTTCTCTGGGCAGCTTCACTCTCTCTACTGATTCAAATGTGGTTCAAGCTCCTAATATTCACCCAGCTGTTACATGTTTCTCTGCATTGGCAAAGGTGGTCATCTGGAAAACTCTTTTTTTTTTTTTAAAGATTTTTTAAATTTTTATTTATTTATGATAGTCACACACAGAGAGAGAGAGAGGCAGAGGGAGAAGCAGGCTCCATGCACCGGGAGCCTGACGCGGGATTCGATCCCGGGTCTCCAGGATCACGCCCTGGGACAAAGGCAGGTGCCAAACCGCTGCGCCACCCAGGGATCCCTGGAAAACTCTTATTCATACTTCAAGACTCATGTCAAAAATCTGATCCTAATTCTAGAGTTTTTACTGACCCTTTCAAGCAAACAGATCACTCCTTTCTGGTGCCATCATCATAAGGCTGCATCATATGATTACAGCCCCAACAAAGTGGAGGCACCAAGAAACAGACGGCACTTAAAAACTGATTTCTGGGGGCACCTGACTCTTGATCTCACTGTTGTGAGTTCAAGCCTTGAGTTGGGCTCCATCCTGAGCATGGAGCCTTCTTAAAAAAAATTGATGTCTGACATTTTTAAGATAGCATCACCATCACTATTAGAAAAATCAGTACTTTGGTACAATTCCTACAGCAACTTTATAGGTTAGTAACTTTTTCCTCTTACACTACATGAGAGTTGGGGTAAGTATCATAATCTTTCCAGAGTTTAGGAAGTTTAAAGATCTTAATTTAGCCCCATATTGCCAAATCTAACACATAGCTTTTAATATGCAATTACATGGATGGCTATGAATCTATTATTGCCTTCCCTCCTGGAACTATAAATTCTTTAAGACAGTGACTATATATTTTGTCCTTAAAAAAGTACATGGCTTCATAGAAACTCCCGAAACACAGGTTAAATGAAATCAAACTGAAATGAATATGTTCCCTAGGTCTCTTATGATATTACTTCCTGATATAGAAACATATCCCTGGAGGAAATGTTCTTCATAATATCAGTATGATTGAATTATTAATTTTAACAAAGGTTTTCAATGGTTAGATAACAAACATTGAGTGCTGTAGTTTAGTATGTGAGATATTAGGGACATAGAACTTATTATATCTCCCCCACCTCCCACCAGTACATCTCTAGAAATTGAAGCTAACATAATTTCCTGCCCTGGAGGTAACACTGGGACCAAGCAAATTTTCCTGTTAACCCTATGCTAACCAATACTGAGACTAGGCATAAAAAACTTAGCTGCCTGTGGGAAATACTTGCTCTTAGAAGATGAGACCCAACTAAAACAGCTTCCTCAAGACCAAAGTCAAGACCCTCACTTTGTTGTGCTTCCCAACTGACAGCCATTATGTCATAAACTCATCTATCCCAACCAGTTTCCCACCATATAAGACCCAGTTCAGACTCTAAAATCCTATAAACACCCTCTCTCTAAACCTCCCATTTTGAGACATTACAAGGCTCTGTTGAGGTGGGTGGTCTCTTACTGGAAAGGCCTAATAAATAGCTTTGCTTCATCAATGGGTTTTTTGATGGGGCAAGTCAGTGACAGCTGACTTGACTTCTCTTTATGGCTGATGCTTCTTCCTACACTTCTTTCAGATATTTTGGTTTTAAATAGTATAAAAGTAAAATGTATTTGTAAGATTGGACCTGATTTATTTTGTACCCAGAATCAAATAAGCAGAAGAGGGATATGGCTAAAATTTTCAGTCAACTCTCTGATGTTACCATATATTTATTTCATATTCAGTATCACAATAAAACTTGTTTTGGTTAATTACAATAATCTTAAATTTTAGTTTTCTTTCTAAGCTGAAGAATGAATATAGGCAAGAAAAAAACAATTTACTGATTCTTTCAACAAATCTTTATTTAATGCCTTCTATGGACCAGGCTCTGTTCTAGATGCTATAATATAGTTGAAGGGGCTAGAAAACCAGCAAACTAATATATAGAAACTATACAGAGAATAAGAAGTGCTAATTAAACAACAGTCATTTAGAAAATAATCAATAAATAGCTAAAAAAAAATGGAACTTCAGGAAAAAAAGAATCTTCTAGTACTTTGAACCAAGCATTTTATAATGTTAGTAGCTTGGCTACTCAGAAATGTCAACTCAGGGGGCAGGAGTATACTTTGTGTAGGGAGTTTCAGTACAAAGCAACATTCAGAGTAGTTTTGAGATTGAAAGCACTGTCATCTCTTTGAAAAAAAAAAACCCTCTGGCATTTGTACATTAAGTATTATATTTAACACTTCATTAATTAGAAACAGAGTTTATGATGGATTCTAACTCCTGTCAATAAAGGCCAATAGTAAGGAAAAAACCCAAAAAACAAAACCCAGCATTGTCTTCATTGGGAAAGACTTGCACCACTATAGTGTGTCCATTTGTCAGGAAATAAGCCAGAATGGCCCTTTGCACAGAAAATAATTTCAAGTTAATTAATTAGACACTTAATTGGGAATATTACCATATTATATCTAGAAAATAAAATTAAAGAGATGCATACATTTTCTCATGTGTTTGTTTTTTTTTTTTTTCAAACTTCTGAGTTAAACATTTGATTTCCATATTTCAATTACTGGTGGAAGGGCATGGGTAAACCATAAACAGTAATCAGCTAGGCTAATAGTACAAATTCCCATAGAAACTGCATCTGGGTTAATGAATACTCATAGGATACCTTGGCAGACTTTCAAAAATACCTTATACTGGCCTAAATTAACCTCCTGAGTAAATCAGTCTACCACATGTAGTGATGGGAGACTACAAAAACGCTGTCTGGTCACACTCCTCCTGTGCAGGGAGTGGAGAATATTTATAGGAATTGGGAATAATGACCATTTCAAATATCTGTACTTCAAGTACATTCAAGTCCTCTGCATTTTTCATCAGTAACTAAAAAAGATAAACAACAAAAAAATACCCTTCTTAAGAAGCTTTTAAGCATACTTAAAAAATTCTTCTCAATCTGATTTTCTTCATCATGAGCTCATTGATCCCAAACTGAGACATGGGATGCTTACATTATTGCTAGCCCTCAGAACACACAATGAGGCAGTGCTTAAAAGAGAAGGACCGAGGGACACCTGGGTAGCTCAGTGGCTGAGTGTCTGTCTTTGGCTCAGGGTGTGATCCTGGGGTTTCAGGATTGAGTCCGGCATCAGGATCCTTACATGAAGCGTGCTTCTCCCTCTGCCTATGTCTCTGCCTCTCTGTGTCTCTCATGAATAAATAAATAAAAATGTTTTAAAAAAGGGGGAAAGACCGATGTATAAACAGAGGGGGATATGTTGGTAACTCTTTCATGGTCTGAAACCACCCCTTGTGCTCCCCGGCAAACATTCTGTTCCCCCAACCCTCCAAAGCTGGAGGAAGTGGCAGTGATCAGAAATTAAATTTCAATTTTGTCAATACATGCACTTTTTTTCTTCTGGATTCTCTCTTTTCCTTCTTAACCTTTGTACCTATCAAAACCAAAAATAATTTTGGATAGAGATAGGAGCCTTGGAAGGGAGTAGAAGTAGAAGCACATATCTGAGCTAGTCTCTAAGTTTACTTACTAAGTTACAAACTTTTGTTACTCACTGTAACAAACCACAATGCAAACCAATAAAACAATAAATAAATAAAGCAATTAAGGTATTTAAGCCTCACTACCAAAAAAAAAATTATTTAAGTGTAGACTAATGTGATGTTTTTGGTCACATTATAGCTGAAAAACAAAGAGATACTATCTTTTTCTTATAATTTTGTTCTTATTAATTTATATTTCATAATCCCTTTCTTTTTATGATTTAAAAGTAATTAACAGAAAGAGAGAGAAAGAGAGAGAAAGATTGCTTTTAATGAGAAGTTGTCAAGTTAAATTGATTACAGTACATTTCATTTCTGCCTAAAATAAGTTAACACGGAGCTAAAAGATAAACTAAGATCCAGTGTCCTATCCAACAAAACTTTATTGTAAATTATCCTTCTAGGATTGCCTTTTAAATGTTAGCTGAAATAGGAGGGTTGGGAATCAGTACATAAATATCATAGGAAGATTAAGGCAAATTTTGACGAGTTCTTTTCTGTGAAATAAAAAGAAGATTTAACCTTAGTGGTTAGAAGATGCGGCTCCATCTGGAGTGTAACTAAAAAATTTCTTGAACCTCACCTGGTTCTGCTTTAATGTGGACACGAGTTTCTGCAATGTGATATTTTCTTCCTCCAGCTCAGTGTAGTCCTGAAGGAGGCGGGCCTCTCGGAATTTGTATTCTCGGATTTCATCCTTCATCCTTATTCTCTGTAGCTCCACCATCTCATTGTTCTGAAACAACAGAATACACAGTCAATATAAACCTTTCTTATTCTAGGCTTTATAAAGTGCAAATATCTTGGTGGTTAAAGATAATAACAAAACAGCTCATAGAATGTAAGTCAGTATCACCTTCTTTTGAACAGCAACGCAGTGATGTCTGTCAAAACTCTGAAAAGCACACACACAAGATCCAGCAATTCTTTTTTTTTTTTTTTTTTTTTTTTTTTAAGATCCAGCAATTCTACATCTAAAAATCACTATTAAAGGGAGAGCCTTTGTGGCTTAGTCAGTTAAGCATCTGCTTTCAGCTCAGGTCATGATCCCAGGGTCCTGGGTTGGAGCTCAGCATTGGGCTCCCTGCCCAGGGGGGAGTCTGCTTCTCCCTCTCCCACTCCCTTTGCTTGTGGTCTTCCATCAAATAAACAAAATCTTTATAAAAATCACTGTTAAAGATTTTCCCACAGAGGCAAATAAAAGAGAAAAATTTAAAAATGTATATTTACACAAAAAACAGGAAACAGTCTAAATGTTTGCTATTGGGGAAACAATGAAATAGATTCTCATGCATTCATTGAATTGAGCATTATACATTTTTTTGTATTTAATATTTTATTTAAATTCAATTTGCCAACATATAGCATAACACCCGGTGCTCATCTCATCATGTGCCCTCCTTAGTGTCCATCATCTAGTTACCCTATCCCTCCACCCACCTCCCTTTCCGCAACCCTTTGTTTCCCAGAGTTAGGAATCTGTCATGGTTTGTCTTTCTAATGAGCATTATAAAATTATTTAAAAGAGTAAGAAAAAAATGAGGAGCTTTATATACTAAAAGAAAAATATAGCTATAACATATGAAATATAAAAGAAAATTATAGATTAGTATGCATACAATACTAGCTTTCTATATTCTTGGGGGGTGGGGTGAGTGTCCATCCCCAAGTTTCCCAATTAGCCACATGGTCTGACCTGCCTCTGCCCAGCCCTTGGTCACTCACTTCAGCCTCAGTAGCTTTTCTCGTGTTCTCCCCCAAGCTGGACTTGCCACCTCATTCTTGCCTTGAGTCTTTGCACTTTGCCTCACAGAAGTCCCTCCCTCCAGATCAGGGGCTCTTAACCTCTTTGCGCCATGGCTCTCTTTGACAACATGCAAAGGTGATGAAGCTCTTCTCAGAATAGTATTTTTTTTTTTTTTAGATTTTATTTATTTATTCATGAGAGACACAGAGAGAGGCAGACACAGGCAGAGGGAGAAGCAGGCTCCACACAGGGAGCCTGACATGGGACTCCATCCCGGGACACCAGGATCAGGCCCTGGGCTGAAGGTGGTGCTTAAACCACTGAGCTACCCAGGCTGCCCCTCAGAATAGTATTTTAAGGGAAGTGAAAGGGTTCAGAGCATACCGCCCCAAAATATGCCACTTTGGCATACTGATTATTCTGAGCTGCAGGCTCTTGAGAAACAGGAGATGCAGGAAGGGCTTTCTGCCGTCCCCCTTTCTACCTAAAAGTGGAAAACAAAACAGCCCCTGAAAAGGTGCTCTCCCTGTACCAGAAGAAAAGAATGTTCTTAGCAGCAAACACTGGGAGTTGGCACCAAAATGGATTTGTACAAACAAACGTTCTAAAATAACCCTGTTCTTCCATGAGTTTCTCCATACATTTCCTAGTCACTGTCCCACAATTTACTGCCCCTTGCCTAATTTATCATATCTTGTCACATCCCCACAATTTATTGTTCTTTGTGTAAGCTTTGAGGCCTAATGGCTTCTTTGGGTCTGTATTTTCCTTCTAAAGACTCCTGTGTACACATAAAAAAATTAAATAGATTTGTATGCTTTCTTCTCATTTATCTGTCTGATGTCAGTTTAATTCTTTGGCATAAAAGTTGGGATTACAAAGGATTATATTATATTATATTAAAATTAAGTTAATATAATCTTTTAAAAATTATGATATGGTAATCAGGTAGTTTATCATAGTAATGGTCTCAAATTAATCATACTTCTCTGTGAGTCTCCTCTCAAACTGAGCTGGCCTCTAACTTGCTTTGACCCACAGAAGGTGGTAGAGGTGAGTGGGACCCTTGAGCCTTGGCCTCAAGAGACTTGGCAGCTCTTGCTCTCTTGGAACACTGCCATATATGAAGAAGCCAGGATAGCCTGCTGGAGTCATGTGGCCCAGCCCACACTTAGCACCAACTGCCAAGTATGGGAGTGAGACTTCTTGGACTATTTGGCTCAGGTGAGCTGCCAGGTGAGAGGAGCCATGTGACTGACCCTGGGCAAATCCATAAGAACTGCCCAGCTAAGTACAACTCAACTGTCTGATCCACAGAATCATAGGGTATTGTTTGGGGTGATTATATAGAAATATATAATCGATACTGTAATTATGTGTGCTTCCTTATTAATACAATATATTAATTATTTAGTGGCAGATCTAAGAAATACCCTAATTTCAAAGCAATGAAGATATTTCAAAATACCTGCAAACACTGAGATACGGTATGAAAATATTGATCACAAAGTAACAGGTAATGCTAATACTGCTGAGTTAGTCAAATAGGATTCACTCAAATGGAAGAAAATGTTAAATTTCAGTCTGAGTCTAGTGAAAACAGAAATGTAAGTATTTTTCCCATCCAAGCATCCCACCAAGTCTCCTGAATTCTATCCACAGACTCTTAGGACCCAGGTCAAAAAACTCTTCTGCTTCTATTTGTCATTTAGATCTCAATTCAAATGTCATCTCCTTAGAGTGGTCTTACCCTGAACAGCAAAGATGAGATAGCTCCCTGACTTTCACCCTACAAGGTTTACCTTTTATATCAGCATTTAGCATATGGTAGGTACTCAAAAAATAACTGTTGAAAGAGAATCACTAACCATTACTTGAAACCATTCACTTACCTTCTTTGCATTTTTTTACATTTATTAAATTTCCTTTTTGATCTGAGCATAATGAACCTTTTCTGTATTTTAATCAATGTATTTTAATCAACACCTGGCAAATTTTAAGCTCTTATAATCATGGAATGAACAACAAAACAAAAATACAAATGGTTAATACAAAATTTAAAGAATATGATTGCTGGGATGATGGGTTTTTCTCTTGTACTGTTTTAGAGTGGGGAACTAAGGGAGAATAACACACTTTGAAATAAAACATACCTAAATCTTTGAAATAACTACATTTGTTATAATTCTTCCTTACTATGTAGTCCAGAAACTTGGAGGCAGAAAATTTACTTTATTCTCTGGCCCTTGGACAATACTCTGAGCATATGTGCCCACTAAGTATAGAATGAAAAACAGAGTTTGGCTATAAAGCCAATTTACAACATTTCATTAAGTTCTTTTATTTTGCAGAAACATGAAACCTTAATATAATATTTTTCCATTTCTTAAAAAACTTACCATTAACTGAGTGATATATATTTAGTTTTCCATATTCACTTGCATAAAGCTATGAAGAAGCCTGATAAGTTGGATGCCAGTCATTTACATAAAATTGTGAAGAAAAATGTTAAGATACAAGAGATTCTATAAAATGTGAATGTATACATTGTAAAAAATGTAATGACCAGAAGCCTAGCTTGTATACACTGAGAATTAACCATAAAACCTTATATAGTCAGATAGTAAATGTCAAACAAATTTAAGGTCACAGCAAAGCTAATGAGGATCCCTAACAAACACGTCATAAAATAGCTAATGAAAACTCCTGATGCTAATTAAGGGAAAGGAACAGCGTGGCTGAGAGACTGATTAAGTTGAAAGACCAGCTAACGGTAAAACAGACACAAGGCCCAAAGAAAGAAAACTGGTCTTAGGAATTTTGCTAGAAGTCCTTGTTTTTTGAACTGCTAAAGATTATGTTCTATGGGCAATGTTCTTTGTTTCCATAATAAATTTAAAATACTACTCCTGTTTTTTTTTTGTTTTTTTTTTTTTTGTGCCACTCATCACACATTTACTACAATTTTTTCTTCCTGGGTTTATAGAAGGGTGCTGAGTTTTACTAAAAACCCCCATAAAAAATAATGAGAGTAAGAAAAATAAAGCAGATGAGAAAGGGAAGAAAAAGGCATAACCCCAGAATGCTTTTAGCCTTTCACCTCCAGAGACCTGAGCCCCAGCCTCTCTTCAGGAAGAACAGATGAACCTGAAATGTTGGGGTAGACTATCCTCATTATTTGCACTGCGTATGAGCATAGTAGCATTCTTAGTTTTATTTTAATTAATATTAAAAGGATTTCTTTATGTGGAAATAATAAATTCTATTACTGGCAAGAAGAAAATATAGGTAAAATCTGTTACCACACCAAAGTAATGTATAAAAATAATGTCTTCTAGTTATATAACTTAGTCTTTTCTAAGTTAATTATATTAATTGTCACATTAGGTCTTAAAAACCACTTGTGTGAGATGGGCGACAGACTCTCCAATTTACTTATCTATAAAATGGGGATCCTGATACTTAACATTATGTGGTAATTGTGAGGATTTAATGATGTAACTAATGTGGGGATAGAAGCAGTGATGCCAGGCACGTAGATAATTTACCTTAACACAACAGAACAAGCGCCATCAGAGATTCACACCACAAGGCTGAACAATCAATTACTCTTGGGTGAGTCAGCAAAAGCTTTACAAAGGAAGCTACATTTGAGCAGAACCCTGAAGGACAAGTAGAGTTAACAAAATGGATAGAGGACAGACTGTGCAGTCAGAAGTAAACTTCTGAAACAAAAGCAGAGTCATACTTGTGTTGAGGGCAGTGTTAAAACATCCAATAGTCAAACTATTTCCTTGGGGGATCAGTGAGGATAAAGCACGGAGAGAGAGACAGAAAAGAGAAATTCACAAAAATCTAGAAAATAGCCAATTATTTCCAGCTTATGTCTAAGTTCAACATTATTTCATATGAGAAAATGTTAAATTACAGACTAATGTTCATCTAGGGGATAGGAGAGGACCCAAAATGTTTTCAGTGCTTAGAACCTT